TTATAAGCCATTTTAATATATAACCTGTAAAGTAAAAGTTGCTATCATCATTTATATTTAACATCAACTTTTCATGTACTAGTAATTATAATATTTGTATGCACTAATATTGCGATGACACTGCAGTGTTTGCTTTAACCAGTACTGAACAAATCTGCTATGGTGTAAGTGAGATGTGGTCGGCGCACGTGAGATGATATCGATTTCTTTAATACATTCCTAAGGCCTCAAACCTTAACCCTGAGCCTTTCAGTGTCGCCCCCCAATTTAGTTATGTACGCTCCCCTTGGGAAAATATATATGTATAGAGTAGCATATACAAATAAATGGGGTTGGAGGAGTGGAGGGTAGATTAAGAGAACTAAACGTTTACTGTAAAATATATCATATTGATTTACCTTCTGAGAATTTATAAATATTTATTAAAACTGGTCGGATGATAGCATTGACTGTTTTGATTTAATCCGGTACAAGGACACCCCATTTTTATATACGTTTATCCAATACAGTGCATTATGAGATTGAGCAGATATTTTCAGTAATATATTTACATACATACACTGAAACAATTCAATTTAGGCAAGGTAAAGTTCTCTGATACTGGAACATTTGCATTCGCATTAATTTCGCAAATCGACAGTGAACTCTAATGAGATGATTCTTATGACTTTTAATTAATCTTTTTCTATACCCTCATAGGCAAAGATTTGATTGTAAAACCAAAGAAGCCATTTTTGTGTATGTGTATGTGTATGTGTATGTGTACTAATGTTGCAAGGACAAAATACAGTCCCTTCGAAGACATACAACTTCCGAAGACATACAGACCTTCAGAGGATTTTTTTCATAGTCCTTGGAAAACATAATTTATATAAATAGTTAATTCTATTATTAATACGTTTTGCGTGGCTTAGGTTTAGGAAAAGGGGGAAGGTATGGTACAGTTTATATTAACATTAATATATTTTTACCATACCCACCCTCGTTACTGACATTAAACCTAAGCTTCAAAGGGTGTTCAACTTTTATTTAATTAAACTTGAATTAAAACGCAATTCTATGTTGTATTGCACTGAATTGAATTCAACTTTATTAAAAATTAATATATGTATGTGTATGCAACGGTATTTGTATGCTAATTTAAAACACTCAAGTTTCTCATTCACGGATTATTTTCCCAGGCAAGTACATGACCTGAATTATGACAAGCAGCTATTTATCACACATCTTAACAAATCTGCCGTTGACGTTCCAGCATTTGATCATGACATTCTTAAGACTTGGTTCTCTCTCACAACATTAAGAAAGGACAAACTTTCCATGTTTGTGGAGGTGTGCGCAGAACCATTGTTTAATAACCCACTGGTCTTGCATCCAATTCAAAACACACCACTTAATTTTTTACCAAAGTAGTTGACCTGATAGGTTACAGTTTGTAAAAATTGGCTGCAAGTTGATGATCTACAGTACCCGTATAAGCAAAGACGCATAGTATTTGGTAGGGTTCTTGACGTAACACACCGAGCCATACCAACTGAATGGAAACATATTATTGCCATCACAATACAAGTGAAGTACAAATACCTGACAATAACTACTCACTTGAGCTAATCTTTATTAATGAAGGCAATGTCATTCTCTTAAATTGCCTGCTGTATAAGGAGCGAATATATACATTTCTTCCATCAACAGAAAATCTGCCTAAAGCAACCACACACAAAAATAATGTCTGCAAAGATGTTTTAACTCACAACCCTGCCGACAAACCTATTTTCACAGATTGCCACCTTCTCCCCCCAAAATAACGGCGATCTACAGTGGGGACTCTTGCACGCTGCATTTCCTACGTGTAGTTGTTTATTTAAATCTCAAATACGTACGTCAGATGAATTTCTTGTCTGTAACGACCACGATGATTTAGTGCACATCTTTGTTGAATGTCAGGGACTGACTTCTGATCTTGAAAAATTCAATATAATAACTCTGCAGCTACTCAACATGGACACCATTTCATTGTCATGGTATATTCTTGGTTCACTGCGAAAGAAAACTACCAACCCAACTCATCGATTGCTGTGTTACCTGATAATGCCTCTGAAATGTGCTATTCATGCAACCCATTTCAACCAAATCAAGGGCATATCGCAAACCAAAGTCTTACAGTGTTTTAAAGCCCGTATACGTTTCAGGCTATCCAATGAGTGTGAATACCATCTCGTCACGCACACAATGAGTACTTTCACGTCACAATTTTGCATCAAAGACGCCTTAGCCACTGGTAACCAAGACGTATCTAGAATATATAGACCTGACGTGACGTATCCAAACCCCGTTGCAACCAATGGTATCTCCACGGACAAATGAATTATGAATACAACCTCGGACTGTATTGTCGACGTCGCTCATCAATAATTGAACATGTAACGTGATTCGCGACCATCGATATATGCTTTTGAGTTTCGTAATGTATTATGTATGTATATTGACATTGCACAGTTTGTATCCAAATTGATGTAATTTATGCAAAATATTTATTTCTTCAAACTTCACGTAAATATGTAAATTTGCAATGTAAATTACTTTTAAATGCATAACAAAAAACAGAAATGTGTATGTGTATATATAAATCTGCCATCCGTCACCAGAGTTCCAGATAAATTGATATATATCTGTAATTTATGCAGATCAGAGAATCAGAGAGTTTGTTTGACCTTCGACCTCGAAATATGCGCTATGGTAAATACACCCCAGCTGCCACAGAAGGAATGGTAGAATCTGTGGTAGAACACCTTTGATAAACACTTTCTTTTCAGTATACGTACGTGAATATATTACTAAAAAAACGTATGTTCAATCCCAAAATGCACTGCACTGGAAAAACGTATAAATAAATGTATACGCTTGCACCGGATTATAAAAAACAAATATGCTATCATCCGATCCGTCTTTATAACTATTTATAAATAGTGAGAGGGTACATCAATATTATGATATCTTTTACACTAAACGTCTAGGATAGGAAATATACCCCTCCTCTAATCAACTCTCATTTATTTGTATATGCTTCTCGAAATATCATCCCAAGAGAAGCGTACACAATTAAATGGGGAGACAGAAGAGGGCACCGGAAAGGTTAGGGCTAGGGGTTGAGAGCCTAAGAAACTATTTATATAAATCGAAATCACCTCACATGCGACGAGCACATAGCACTGACACCATAGAAGCTTTGTTCAATACAAGGAAAAAAACATCAAGTAAAAAAACATGCTATTTCAATAATCTGGCAATTATAAATATTATTATACATCTGTCACCGTAACGCCATAAGTTACCGGGTGCTGTAATTTTGCAATATTGCACTGAGTATTTCCACCCTACCATATTAGGAATTCCAAATATGGAACGATTACGCGCGCGTAAGCATTCTAAAAACAAAACATGGCTGCCCCAGGGTTTGACCGTGACTCTACATAAAGAAGTTCGCTGATTCTGTTCTCAAACGTTTTGGAGTTTAGCATTCCCATGGTGTATCCTTGGAAAGAAAAAAATAATAGTATCTAATTAATATGTGTGTTGATTATTTTATCACATGAGATTTTTGTAAAGACAAACTAAACACGCTGAATTCAAACCAAACACCAAACAAACGAATCGGGAAAATTTAGAATAAAAGTAAATAATGACAAACACAAAAAAGGTCAAATCGTCGTGGTGGCTTCAAAATATCGCGAAGATCATCGTCAATAGATGGCGCTATTTACAAGAAAGGTGCACTGTGTTATACATTGCTGGTGGTGCAGCGTTACCTATATACAAGGAATATACAGCATACTTCCGTATAGGACAGGAGTTCTGGAATTAATTAACGACACAATATCATCATTATAATCTTATTACTCAACAGTGTCTGATTCGGGTATCATACAGACAATATCAGCAAAACAGGTGAGGAGAAAAATGTTCATTTCCTATGTCGCAGTAAAAGATGTCAACCATGCCTTTCGACAAGGTTTATTTTTGTACCTAAATATTATATATGACATGTACATATGGAATTGTCAGGTTTTCTGCAATGTACAAAATTGAATTCATAATATGAATTGCAATAATCTTCACAATGGTCGTATGTGATATAAAAAGTGGCATAACATATTTGGGGTCAACTGTTATAAATAGTCACAGCCATACAAAATCACGTTTTTTCTAACAATCCAATTCATCAATTCGAACGCGAAGACAACCACAAAGTCATGTCGAACAATCTCTAGATGTCAGATCAATTATAGTTCACCGTGAATGCACGGATTTTAAATTCGGTATTTTTGTTGAAAAGTAAAATCCGTTGATTTTAATGTACATGAAAATAAAAAAAAAGAAGTAAGCGTTACCTTGGCAATTTTGTGAACTGAAACAGAATGAATATGCTAAAAAAATCTAAATATTGAAATATCAGTGATAATAAATTGTTTTACATTATTCAATTTATGATAATATTAAGAATTACCGTGTGACATTTCACGTACTGTCAGTCCGCCAAACAGTTAAACTCCGAAGATCAACTTATCTGAACGCTGTTGTTCATATGCGTCTTGTGCAGCTTTCCCGACCTTCTGAGGTATACGTGAAATAGTAGAATATGAGTCACGAAACTACTGTCTACTTGCTTAATCGGAACTTTCACCTGTTCAGATTTCATTAAAAAATCTATGATTTCCGATAATATTCAGGTACCATTGTCTTATTATGAATAATGCCACAATTCATTGCAGTAACTCAAAATCTCATTAGTTGATTTCAACAGATAATTTATATCATACACAAATTAAAATTTGTAATACACTTTTCTGATTAAATAAAATAGTTCATCCTAAACAAAGAAATTATGTTTATTTTTTATTATTAAGACTATTTACATAATTTTCAAAATTTATTAATTATGTGATAGCGATTTAAATATTGATATATCAAATTACAGATCACGGAGTGCGAACACTGACAACATGGAACCAAATGGCAATACCGACAAACCGATCACAGACGACTCCACTCGTGTGTCCAATGTATTCGAACTACATACCATTAATGACAAAAAAGATCACAATGAGAGCGAATCAATGCACACAAAACACCACTACTGGAAAGCATTCTTAGGAATTACAATGGGATTACTGTCAGGTGCAAGTCTAGCTATCTCAGATGTGTTTGCTCTGTTATGTGTCAAGATTGGTTATTCACCATCACAGGTTTTACTTGTCAAATCACTGATGATGATGGCAATAACTATCCCGTTGCTCGTCTACAGGAAAATTAATATTCTGAAACTCAAACGGAAAGACACTATTTTGAACATTGTGAAAAGCTGTTCTGAAAATGCAGGAGACGTTCTTTTCTATTATTCTATGGATGGGATTGGAATGGGAGATGCAACCTCTATAGCCGCAGGAACATTACCAATATTTGCACCTATGTTTGCCTGTGTATTCATACAAGAGAAGTGTAAACCCCGTGACTGTATTGGTATTGCCATAAATGTTGCTGGTATCATATTAATATCACGACCTGAATTCATATTTGGTACAGCTGCCGCCTCATCGGATCTTGGTTATATGTATGCTGTAGCAGCAGGTCTTCTTGTATCCACTGGTGCTGTGTGTGCTAAAGCAATGTCTGATGATCTTTCTCTAATAGTTGTAGTTTTCTATAATGGGTTATTTGGTTTTGTAATTATGTTGATATTTGTGTACCCTACAAGTAGTGATCGGATATATACATTTATACTTGAATATCCTATCACGACTGCATATCTTGTAGGAATGGTAGCATTGTTCCTTGCTTATCTGTATTCGTTTAACAGATCGCTACAATTACAGAGTGTGGGTAAAACATCAATTTTAACGAACGACTGTCTTGTAGTCAGCTTTATTGCGGATGTTGTTGTGTTTCACCAGGAACTGGTTAGCTTGGAATTAATTGGTGCTGCACTAATAATTCTAAGTTCCATTCTTGTCTTTGTGTTTACGTGGCTTGAAACAAGACATACCCTTGAAGAAGAAGCTAAACTTCTTCAGAATCCAAAATAAAACAATACAAAGAAACTAAATCGTTGTCATTATTCCGATTATATGTGAAGTTGAACCTATATTAAAATAGTAGTTGAGAAACATATACATGGGCCTGTCATTGGGAATGGTCTATGACTATAAGCAATTTCCATTGAGAACAATATTCCACATATTTCAACCAACGCCTTTGAGATTTTCAACTTACCAATTACGATTTGATTTGTATTATAAATTTCTAATCACAGACAATAATACTTTAGTTTTTTTACCGTTGATTAGCCAATGATGTCCTTTTAACTTTTCTTTTGATAATTACCTTGGTTAAGAGTCATTGAAAGTTTGCATTCACTACACGGCATTCCAAGCTGTGTTTTCAGAACAGTGTGTGGCTTGACACATTTGCCGGGCTTTACTCGCCTGACAACTCTCATTTGCATAATATCGTAGCCGATTGTCTGCACCCTCGTAGTTATCAACGAGTTCAATCAAGACGGCAGTATTATGGTTACTGATCTTCTAATTTCATCACAATTTCAGGTCAATACTGACATGGTACTGAATGCAATAATACCTATTATTATACATCTATCACCGAAACGCCATATGTTACAGCGTGCCGTAATGTTGTGGTATTTTCCGGGGTATTTTCATCATACCATATTGGGAAATGTGAATTCGATTACGCTCACAAGCGTCTTCAAATAATAAAAAAACAAGGCTGCCACTAGAGTTTGACCGGACTACAGACAAAGAATTTCGCTGATTCTGTTCTAAACATATTGAATTTCGGTACTCCCATGATGTATCCTTGGAAGGAAAAGATGTCAGTCAACGTAGAAAGCCTGCACTGTAGGCGTACTTTTTTTTTCAATTAATTATCTATGCACACATTGCATTGGGATTAGGATAGCAAAATGGACGCTCTGTGTGTATCAATGAATGAATGCGTTTTGCTTAGAGGAGTTACATTTTAAAGCATAACATAAACTGACTTCCTTAGATGGAATGTTGAAGAACACTTGAAAGGGAGCATAGTTAACTAAAATATGATATTGCTGTAGATGGTAAGTTTACGTCTATAAGTAACCTTGTTCAAGTTGTTGTGAACGTGGTGTAGTCCGTGGAACACATTAGAACCACTAAGTTACTTTCCGTTGCATATCCTGTGAGAATATTATCTTTTGGCAAATAATATTAGTTTGGGGAGGCTATTGTACCAAAAAGGTCCCAAAGAGAAAAAAACTGTAGAAGAGAATTACTCGATTAAAAATAATCACGACGTTTTCGTGCCACTTCCGATGGCATTTGTTATTACAATATAGTATCCATTGTAGAAATATTGCTGAGTTACAGTAGAATATCACTAAGGTGGATATCACTGCTATAGTTCGATTTTAAGGGTTCAACATGGAGTTAAGGGGCGGGGTAATATGAACAAATAATAATAAACACAACATTTTTGTTATCACTTTTATAAATGATTTATTCATGTAAAATTCGCCAAAAAATAAGGTAAAATATTTAACAATATTGTTAGGACACTTCCCACACAACACGATTTATTAGTATTACATCGGCGTCTCTTTAAATAGGCATATATTGTTTTTCGTTGTATGAAATTATCTTCTAAACCATTCAACAATCTCCTACACTTCAGACAATACATACATGGCAAATAAAAACACTTTATATTAGGCATAGATAACATTGCTCGTGATACAATTAATATAACTTCAAAACATTATAACAGTCATTCACAGTAAGGTAAGAGGTCATATATATGTTAAATTGACCAAATTATATGAAACTTATGTAATACACAAAATGAAATTGTGTTTTTCGTATTATTCTTATTATCCTTATTCAATCCGAGTTTGGATTATTACATTTAGTTTCTCCACATCCACAAGCACCAGTGCAAAGTCCTTTCACATAGCATTTGCATCTTAAAGTTGAACATTTTGTTCTGCATCCACAAGCAATAATTTCAAGGCTGATAGAAGATACTGGTTCCTTTAACATTAGGATAGGAATAAGACATGTCTTCTCTTTCTTCCACCCACCAGAATCACTGGATCAGGTACAACCTGTAGTGTTGCTTGCATCCATATTGTCACCTGGTGATGAGCACGCTTTATATGGTATTGTAGTGCATATTGCGTTGAGAGTAAACCTTCAGGCACTTTCGTTGCGTGAAGGAATAGTGTGTGGCGAGATTCATTCATATTTGAACATTAACATCCATATATACGACACACAAACCTTTCAATGTTTTCTGAAGTTTAAGCAGTCACATTGCCAAAATGTTGCTCAGAAGTTCCGGGTACTTGCTGAACACTTTCCATACCGTCTTCTTACCAAGACCAGAGAAGCTTGATGTTGTGTCGCAGCCTGTCATGAACTGGGATGTACTTTTGTCTCTTTATACAACAAATTTCAACTGTGATAATATGTGAGTAATAGATAATAAGTATCAGCACATCAGAACATTCAATCACTGTTCTCCCATATTGTATCATCTTTGCATCCATTGCATGTAAAATCAGCCTTGTGTCAGCCTCTTCGTGGTTGGCCATGAGGTGTGATAAATCCCTTTCTGCTGAAGACACTACAGTTGTAGCCTGTAAATCCACCTTGTCTGTCACCAGCTCACAATCTGCAGGAAGAGCAGCCATACTCTGTCAACTGTGATGACAGGAAGTTTGCCAAATTTGCAGGCAAGTCTAAGAAATATTTCCTTACATGTGGTAGTGCAACGTACACACCCACTATTGATATTCTCCTCATACTCCTCATAGCAGTCAAACAGAACATCAACTCTTTTATATGTTGAACCTAGTTGGCTAATTACCTGATAACAAAATACATCAGCCAGATTACCAAATGTTTTGGCCTAAAATGGCTTTCCTACAGATTGTACCAAAGTTGGCCCATCATTCAGTAAGCATGCTTTCCTTTCATTATTAGGAAGTGATACTTTAATACTAACATCAGCTTGGAGGATGTCGGCCAGCCTTGATTTTGTAGTTGAGCAAAAATTTCCACCTAAGGCACTTGTGATAACTCATTTTCAAGAACATATGCAAGATCAACATTTCTCCCCACATCATTGGCTACAAACAGTCTACGAAACAAGTTCCTTTCACCCTTTTTTTGACTGTAACATGTGTCAGTGATCCAAAGTTTTGTGATTTGTTCCGATGAAGTGATGTGGAGAATGATTCATTTCATTCATTCGTCAATTCTGTTTTCACATGGGACATAATCATTAGTTTGTAATAAACTTGATTAAAACAAATGTGGAAATCGCCCTTGTTAGATATCTCTTGAAAGAAATACATGATCATTTTCTACAACATTATGTAAGAGATGTTCACAAATGCTGGTATCTATGCGTCTCACCATGTCCTAACTGACTGACTGACTGACTGACTGATTGACTGACTGATTGACTGACTGATTGACTGACTGACTGATTGACTGACTGACTGATTGACTGACTGATTGACTGACTGACTGATTGACTGAATGAAATACATCATGTAGGAAATCAACAAGCTTTTTGGACCGTGTTGCTTGGTGGATTGTATTTCCTAGGCTAATATGCTTTGCATATGTCATGTTTTGCTACCAGACACTCCATACACAACTACCAACTCATGGATTCTCTTACTAAATATATTTGAACTGAATTGATGCAAGGAAGAAATTACAAATATTATTATGAAACTGTATCAATACTTTCATAAAATTTAGACTTCCCATTCCCTTAGTTTTGCACTGTCCAGTTCTTTGTGTTTGTCACTGAATACATTTTGCAAAAGTTTTAGCTTCTCACTTCTCACTACTACCACAGACCGTGAATTACTACTCCTGTCCCTGCTTTGTAATATTCTGTTTGCGGTTCATTTGAATATCGAAAAACAAGTTGTTCAATTCCTGAAAAAAGATTGTCTAAATATGCCATAAAGTCAGCTAACTGGATAGTTCTGAAGTGTGATGGACGAGTTATTTGCTTCAATTTTCTATGACTGATTCATGACATGAATCAATTGCCAGATTTTCAAAATGCCTTTCCTTCAAACGGACTGTCTATTCACCATTTTACATTTGTTTATTACACTTTCAGGAATTGACAGTGTGTCAAATATACTTTGTCCGGTTAGCCCCTCATACCTACCATAGGCAGAAAAATAGTTCACCAAGATGTTTAAAACATGCATTTCTTAGTGTCCTAAGTGTCCCACTTCTGATTGCCGGATAAAATCCAACATACGAACACATTTCAAGATCAGAGACCAAAACCGGGAGACCTTATTTCACTTGTTATTTCCTCCATCTATTCAATTATATTTTGTTCAGATCTATTTAAACTGGATTTGATAAGTAGGGTCTCTAATATAGAACACAGTACATTGTAAATGTCTTGCCAATGATTAACCAAGTCATTTTTTTATCATTGATCACATACCTTGGAAAATTCCTGAAACCCCCCATCCAACAACAGATTTTTCAGTACCTCACTGGCAGATTTGAGAAGATACTAGTCGCCAGGAACAGGCAAACAACACTTATAAACATCAGGAAATGTAGTTCATAAATTATTGACAATTGCATATGTCTGTTGTTCTCCCCTACAACTATTTTATCTATCTCTATAAGTTATCTGGTTTATTGTGTATCCAAAAGGGCAATTGAAATTTTACTTCTATCAGAAAAGATTGAGTATTTGCAATTATTGCATATGTACTGCAGTTTATTTTGATTCGTCCCTGAAATCAAAATCGGTATTTCCACAACCCATATGCAAATGAGGTCCGAGAGCAAACAAAGTAGTCCCTTCAGGAGTACAGTTTTTCGGAATAAACAATATTTAGAAGTACGATATTTTCCCCTTGGGGTACATGAATATACTTGCCGAGTGACATGAAATTTGAACAACAGTAATGGTACTTTTAGGCAGTCACTTATTTTGGCCCAAACTAATTTGCATATCACCAATGCAATTATGTTTTCGG